ATTATTTTAGATGATTGTCTCTTCTAAAATACACTTTAGAATAACAAGAGTGTGGATCAGGGGAACTAAACCGACGTAAAGAAACTGTTTGCGTTGTTAAGGCAAAACACTATAAGTCGAGTTACAGTCTTTTGGATTGGCACGGCAGAGACAGTGGAGGTGAGTGCTGACGCGACGCAAGGAGTACTTCCTAAACCAAAATCTGGGTCGCTAGTAACAGGCGCTGTCGAAGTCGCATTTGTTGCCCCCATCTATCACGCGATGGACCCGGCACCTGCTCAGTGAATTCATGTAACGCTAAGAAATAGGTCTAGATGAAGGTAAATATTTAGAAAATAGTCATTTTGCACTTCTCTCTTCTCATCTTATGCTATATTCTCCAACTTTACTTATATGTTCTCCTGAATTATTAAAATAAAACTTGTGTTCACAGGCACCGCAACCACTACAGCCGTGGACCGGTGTCAGGGATGCCACCAACTTCGGCCCAATATCCTACCAGTTTAACTTATGGGATCCTGACCATCAACCACCAAATATGGGCGAAGACTGTCTATATCTAAACGTTTATACACCACAAATAAAACCAAGTAGTCTACTCCCAGTCATGTTCTACATACACGGGGGCGGATATCTAGCAGGGAGTGGCGATGATGATTATTTCGGTCCAGAGTTTCTCGTCAGAGATGGTGTTATCCTCGTCACGATAAATTATAGACTTCAAGGTCCTGGTTTCCTCTGCCTCCATACTCCAGAAATACCTGGTAACGCAGGAATAAAAGATATGGTGGCAGCCATCAGGTGGGTAAAGAAGAACATCCAAAGTTTCGGCGGAGACCCTGATAACATCACCATATTTGGTGAAAGTGGTGGAGCTTGCTCCGTTTCCTACCTTCTAGTATCACCAATGACTAAAGGTCTCTTTCGTAGAGTCATTCTCCAGAGTGGAGCCGCTATAAACTATTTAATGTTGGAATTCGAAGCACGTGAAAAAGCTCTATTACTTGCCAAACAATTAGGTTGTTTCTCCGAGGATGATGAAACTCTGTACGAATTCTTCATGAAGCAACCTGTTGAGTCATTAGTAAACGTACATTTGAAGGTATGGGGAGCTCAAAAACCCTATGAAATTCCTTACACAGTAGTTGATGAGAAAGACTTTGGACAAGAGAGATTCTTTTACGGTGATATACTGGATGCATTGAAAAACAACGTTCATGAAGGAGTTGAAATAATGATGGGATATACAAAAGACGAAGGCACAACAGCGATGGGATTGCGTTACACTGGAGACAATATCATCAATGATGCAAAATATTTTACAGAATTCTTCATTCCTGGACTAATTAAAAGATATTGCGCTGCAGCTGACCAAATGGAAGTTGGAAGAAAACTGCGACAATTTTACATTAAAGACGGTGAAATCTTATTGGACAAGTTATTGAAGTTTATAGGCACAGATATTTTCCACTATGTAATTATCCTCGCAGCCAAATTTCATTCGTTGACGAACAAAGTATATTTTTATAAGTTCAATTGCGTTACGGAGAGAAATATTTTCGCTCGTTTTGACCCTCCAGAGCCTTACGAAGTTGAGAATCTTGTAAGCCACGGAGATGATATGACATATCTTTTTCCTCTCAAGAAATATCTGGGAAAAGTTGACATGTCATCCGAAACATTTAAAGCAATCAATAGAGCTTGCACGCTGTGGACAAACTTTGCAAAATACGGGTGAGTTGAAATGAATTTTGTCAATCGAAATTTAAAGAGGCAGATTTTAATATTTTTAGCTTTTTCGAACTTCTCTTTCTTTTAAAAAAAACAACTCCTGCACTAGGAATACGAGTAAATCTTGCTTCGCGGGAGACTTTACTAACATACATGAAACGGACACGTAAGACAACCAGACTCAGAACAACAATTTGTGGATCACACAAAGTGTTGTCCCATGTTTGGATCGAGCCCACAATACTCAGCGCAGCAGGAAGCGGCGAGGTGACCGCTTAAACCACTACACCATTCGTGAAGTCATTCAGCTCTGACTATATGGATATGCTCTAACCGAATTACAGGAATGCGAACCTGACCTACTCAAAATACTGCTTGAACGCCCCAATCCATCTTCATAAGCTGTACCATTTTCCTATCTTTGTTTGTCTTTATTATCTACCTTTCATTTCAAGATACTCCCAATTTCATTATCTTAACTCCAAACTGCCCGATTGACGTTAATTCTTGAGGTAATATGTAGCCTAAGTTATTTGCCGAGTTTTTGTTTATCATCATCATCATCAACATCCTTTACTAGTCCACTGTTACACATAGGCTTAGAAAGGAGGTTTTGGCCTACTATACCACGCTCGACAGACGGGTTGGTATAGGGTTTGTGTCAAGTTTTCCTTCTTTTTGCAGTGCTGGTGTCCTGCGTTGTTTTGCGCCCTTAATCGTCTCTTACGACACCCACTTGATGAATTGGGGTAGTGACATTCCGTATCCTTACTCCGTCACTACACGGACACTTTGTTTATCATTACAACAATATCAGGATCTGCCATCTAAGTGTGACAGCTTAACATACAGGCAAACAGGCATAACATGCGTAGTCAGGATACCTGTACACTATTTATAGATAATAATTAAAAATTACTGGTTCCCAGGAATCCTACTCCAACTCTTGATGAAAACCTCGGAGTGGAATGGAAGCCTTACACCTTGGAGAACCAAGCGTACCTGGATCTTGGCAACAAGTTGAAGATGGACTCCGCACCTGATAAGGAAGAAATTGAGCTTTGGGAGAGCGTCTTTAAACAATATTTACCGAAATATAGTATTTAAATAAATGATTTTTTTTTCCAAAAGCGCGTGGGCTCGATGGACCAGATATCGTGTTGAGTAATTTCTTTGTTGCTTTGTACTGACTTATTGAGTTTACTGGAGCCCAGATCTTCTGGTTCTAGAAGACCTGGCTCAAAGGGCGGAATCGCTCTCGTGACCCTTGAGATGCAGGTGTCTCTGGGCAACGGTAGTCAGTCAGGGGGACGATGATAACTGGCTTCCGAATCTGAACCGATTTTAATATTGTTACGAACGGTGTATTATATACATATATAATTATTTTTATTGCACTGTATTTACGAACACTCACTATCACACACAAGAAATTACTGTATGATTCGTTAGTCGCACTAGAAATTCACTTCGATGTTAATTCCCTGTGTCGTAAAACGATACTATGTCGAACAGCCAACACACTCCGATTTTATAGCACTATCGACTTTACTAGAAAGATCCCTAGTATTCGAAAGTCCGTTCCAGACAAATAGGAATATTCCAGAATTGGTTAAGCGTTACTTGCAGCGCTATAAAGTATCAGAATTATTAATCACAATCTCAATAGTTGTATTTTACTCGATACTAGATGGCGCTGTCCTTACACGTTTCTATAAGAAGTAACCTTCTGTTATTTTTTATTGTGTAATAGGGCAGACTGGTCTAATTTCAGATCCTCACCCCCAGGATTCAAGGGGCGAGGTTTGAACTTCGGTAACTTTAATCAGTCTTTTCTTGGGATGAGCAAGGAATTGTTATATTCCCCGTAAACCGCAGATAACAGTGGAGGGCGCAGCTAGTAAAAAGATAAATTTGGTTCCATGGTCGTTTAGCACCAATTTGTTCGCAAACTTCGTGCAAAACAACCCTTTTTATTTTATTATTAATTATAGTCTATATTATAGTCTTTTAGTGGTTAATCAATCACACGCTAACCAAGTCGATTCGCACAAACAAAATTCTTTTTGAACTAAACAAAATTCTTTTAAATTTATTTGAAATGGTCACTCGTGTACACTCTGGGGTCATAGATCAACCAACACAATATGTTTAGTAAAATATTTGGCAAATATATACCTATAGAAAAGGTATTTTTATAATATCTGTTTAGGAGTTTGGGTGTTTTCTATGTATAATATGTATGTATTTACAAAAAAAAAGTATAAAAGTATTCTATCTGTCAATCTAGCTTTCATAGTACAAGCTCTGGATAGTTTGAAACTAGATGGCGTTGTGTGTCAGATGTCCGAAATATCTAAAAATATTATTATGTAATGCCTGTGTCTACAAGCTTTTGTCTTTTGCCTACAACCCTTTGTTGCCGAGGGGTTGAGCCTTATGAGAAGAAAGGGCAAGCAAACTCACCGCACGGTATCGATGTACACACATACAACAAAGGAATTAATACATATTATTTAATTAACATAATATTTTTATATCTTTAATAACGTAAGCTTGTCTTATCTACAAGATTTGGGTAAAGATATCAGAAAATAACCTTCTAATAATCTTTTGTCACGTTCTGGAGGTTATTTGCAAAATTTTATATACAAATCATTAATCATTTTATGATTATTTTACATAGTAATAATATTTAACACTTGACGCATCTTATCGCAAACTAAACAGATCCTGTGCTATGGTTACCACACAACCACATGACATGTTATAGATAAATTACACAGGCAGAACAAATCGTCGTGGTCATCACACAATATTTGGGTCTTGGGTGGGAATAGAACCTACGACGTCTGGCTTAGCGATCAGGGAAACTAACCCCTTCGGCCGCCATGGTAACCGATGGTTCGTGACCATTTGAGGAAGAGGAAAAAACAAAAAAAAAATTTTTACGAAATCAGTTTCGGACCGAGATTACTTGTTCCTTTTACGAAACCTACTAGTCACGAAGACGTATCTTAGATGCAAGGCAGGAAATATTGTTTCTTGTTATTGGACTTAGGGATAGAAACTGGTATACAAGACCAGTTATAATTATTTATTTGTCTCAAATGTCTAATAATATCCGTCTTCTGTGTTTGTCCCTAAAACCAAGCTGAGCTTGTACTATGAAAGCTAGATTGACTGATAGAATACTTTATAATTACTTTTTTTTGTAAGTACACACACATTTCACATAGAAAACACCGAAACAAATATTTGTAGATCATACAAACATTTGGTCCGAAACGGTAATGAAACCCGAGACCTCAGCACAGCAGTAGCATACGCTGAAACTACACCACTGAGACAGGAAAGTAAACATCAAGGATTGATATAAGCTATGAAACATTACGCTACGATTCATGGAAGCAAACCAATCAGACAAGACAAAAGCAGTCGCCGTAAAGTTATTATTAATATTGCAATACATTTTCACAAACGTCATCATCCGTGTAGTAACGGATTAAGAACATAGAGTGTCACCACTCCTATTCATCCCGTGGGTGTCGTAAGAGGCGACTAAGGGAGCAAACTACGCAGGACAACGACACTGCAAAGAGAAGGAAAACTTGGCACAAACCCTATATCAACCCGTCTGGCCAGCGTGGTATAGTAGGCCAAAACCTCCTTTCTAAGGAGAAGCCTATGTCCAGCAGTAGACTATTAAAGGCTATTGATGATATTATTAATATAATATTAACAGTATTATTCATGAAAACTTCGAGGGAGCGACACTTCAGCACGTAAAGGCCAGAACAATACCACGGCCTCACAGCAAACCCGTGAAGCAATTCTCTTCTTGCTTTTCAACGAGTCAGTGAGGCATCCAGAGGCCCAAATGTCTTCCCCCTTTTTCTTGGGGCACTCTTAGGGTGATAATACAGTTGTGAGACACAGGTGGACGGCGGTAACCACTTACCATTGCGTGACCCGTTTTCTCGTTTAAATTAACGTATCGTGGTAAAAAGTATCTTTCCCCAAGAATCAAAGTATCTCTATACCAAATCTATACAAATAAATAAAATTGGAGTGTCTGTTTGTAATATTAAAATAACCGCTTTTTACTAAATGCATATGTATGTTTACACGGTACATATGCCAAAATAACATTTTTAAAATTTTTTGTCTGTCTGTCTGTCTGTATGTCTGTCTGTTTGTTTGTTCCGGGTAACACTTTCGAACAGATGATAAGTAATGGTTTGTGTACGCTTCAAAAACTCAAAATGTTGGCCAAGTTGCCAGGACACTACAACTTTGGAACGTAGGGGCGGCACATTTCCTAATCCGCCACTGCAAGAGGCTAGACAAATGTTTGTAAACTCCTCTTGACACAGGAATCCTAGAGGGAGAACTTTCATTTTGCAAAAAAAAAAGGAAATAATCTCTTCTAATATTTTCTTATTCAAACAGTATATTTCGGTAAATATTTTTTAAAGATTCTCTCCCAAAACTCAATTTCTTCCTTTTCAGGTTCCGAGTCCACCTTCAGCGTGGCACCAATATCCATGTACTCTTGCTTCTCCAAGGTGAACGGCTTCCATTCCACTTCGACGCTTTCATCAGAAGTTGGAGTAGGATTCCTGGGGATCATTGGTTTGTTTAATTATTAGGTAATTATAAAATACCTTTTTTAAATAAAATTGGTATTTCCTTATTTGTATAAAAATTGAATTTAAGTATTTATATTTAAGGACTGTTGTTAACACTAATAATAAAAAATTATAATGACATAGAAGAAATGGCAATACTGATACAGGATGAGAATTTAACCCATGAGCCTATTGCTCGCAGCAGTCTTTAATTCGGGTTAAGAAAAATACAAAAATTAACAACAAGATGGCGCCGACATATTCCATGACTTGCCTTGAAAGCGGCGCTTATTGAGTTTCAAGAAGCCGTAAAGAAAAAGGACCATTTGAATTATTGATTTCAACTCACCCGTATTTTGCAAAGTTTGTCCAAAGCTTGCCAACTTTATTAATCATCCTAAATGTCTCAGATTTGATGTCGACTTTCTCCAGAAAACTTTTCAAAGGGAACAAATATGCCAAATCATCCCCGTGGCAGACAAGATTGTCAGCTTTGTAAGGCTCTGGAGGGTCAACAAGAGCGAAAATATTTCTCTCCGTAACGCAGTTGAACTTATAAAAATACACTTTGTTCGTCAACGAATGAAGTTTGGCTGCGAAGACCATTCCATAATGGTAAATATCAGTACCCATGAACTTCAACAACTCCTCAAATACAATTTCACCATCCCTGACGTAATATTGACGCATTCTTCGCCCAACTTCCAACTGGTCAGACACCACACAATGTCTTTTAATATCTCCAGGAACGAAGAATTCCGTAAAATATTTCGCGTCATTGATCATACGCTCTTGGGAGTAACGCAATACCATCGCTGTAATACCCTCATCTTTTGTATATCCCATCATTATTTCAACTCCTTCATGAACATTGTTCCGCAATGCATCCATTAGGTCACCGTAAAAGAATCTTTCTTGTCCAAAATCTTTTTCATCAACTACTGTGAATGGCAATTCAATGGATTTCTGGGCTCCCCATATCTTTAAATCTACGTCAACTAATGATTTCACAGGTTGTTTCATGAAAAATTCATACAGAGTTTTATTGTCCTCTGAGAAACAACCTAATTGTTTAGCAAGTAAGAGAGCTTTTTCACGTGCTTCGAATTCTGTTAGCAGGTAGAGTGTAGCTACTCCACTCTGGATAATGACTCTACGAAAGAGACCTTTGGTCATAGGCGATATTAAAATGTAAGAGACAGCAACACCTCCAGCACTTTCTCCAAATATGGTGACGTTATTAGGATCTCCGCCAAAATTTTGAATGTTTTTCTTCACCCACCTCATGGCTGCCACCATATCTTTCATCCCTGCGTTACCAGGTATTTCTGGAGTATGGAGACAGAGAAAACCAGGCCCTTGAAGTCTATAATTTATCGTGACGAGAATAACACCATATCTAACTAGGAATTCCGGACCGTAGAGATCGTCGTTACCACTTCCAGCTAAAAATCCACCTCCGTGTATAAAGAACATGACTGGGAGAAGACTACTGGGCTTTATTTCTGGAGTATAAACGTTCAAATATAGACAATCTTCGTCCATATTTAGTGGTTGGTCAGGGTCCCATAAGTTATACTGGTAGGATACTGGTCCGAATTTGGTAGCATCCCTGATGCCAGACCACGGCAGTGGTGGTTGTGGTGCCTGTGAAGATAAACTTTATTATTTTTTATAATTCATGAAATTACTGTTTTAAATTCGCAGTATAGAGTACAAGATGATAGAAGGGAAGTGCAAAATGAGTTATTTTCTAATATATTCAGCAACAATCCTGGTCAACTTTTCTCCTTCTAATACGTCTGTACTTTGTCTCACTTCTTCATCAGTCATAAGCATCTACAACACTTTCCATCCCTTGACAGTCACAACGGACAAAAGTTATTGCCTCTCAGTTTGCTCATCAAGATGTCCACATCTTCAAACAAAATTTCTAACTTATATTACAGGGCGCCGCCTTCCCTGCTGTTATCAGTTTGAGGTACAGATCCATGCAGCTGATCTACTCCAGCCATTGCCAAAATCCCCCAATCATTACATGGTCTTCCCCTCGATAAGTGTCCACAAAAACACTCGTGTGAACCGGTTGTTTGACTTTACTTGCGTGAGCTTGTGTCGGTTTTATAATACAAATCAAAAAAAGTTTGCCGTATTTACATGTTGGCACGTGTTTAGTGTTCGCTGTTTATATTTTGAATAAAAATATGTCAAGCCAAACGCAATAGCCGTCACAACTTTTAAGTCCACGTCTGCCATGTTTGCCTGTCCAGAACACACTAACATACTCCTAAGCATGTGTAAACACTTCGAGCTTATTGAGGTTTTGCAAAGCCTCGGCAAGAGTATAAACATAGCATTAACTATTTTTAAATTCAATTTACGACCAATTTTCTCATCTATCCTTTGTGATTGTCAATCATTGAGTAAAACCAAATGGTAGTTGGATTAAATATATGTGGTTCATCATCATCATCATTACCAGCTTTTAGCAGTCCACTGCTGGACATAAGCCTCTCCTTAGAAAAGAGGTTTTGGCCTACTATACCTAGCTGGCTAGACAGTACAGGGTTTGATTCGAGTTTTCTTTCTCTTTGCAGTGCTGTTATCCTGCATAGTTTACTCAATAAGTCGGCTCTTACGACACCCACGGGATGTATAGGGGTGGTGACACTCCGTATTCTTATTTGTCCTCCAGGAAGGAAGGAGTTGTGAATTATAAGTGACATTGCCCATCAAAAGATTTAGTGAATAGTTACCTTGAACCTAAGATCTCGCACCGGCGGTTGAGCATACGGGACACCTCTGAAGCTGTAGAAAGTCCCTCCGTACTCATTCTGGACCTCCTCCCCCTCCAGTATACCCTCATTTACTTGAACTTGCACCATAATTTACTCCTGATCTGTAAATCAAAACTATAGGGAAATAGTTAATAGGTTAGGAGGATCTGAGTCTGGAATCTGCATATTTTGGTTTCAGGTTGATAAAACAGTAAAATCGCAAATATACAAAAATTTACTTAAAACAATAAAAACAATATATATTTATATATATATACATAAATATTAATCATTACCAAAAAATGTCTGACTTAAATAACTCTTCACTGAAATCACTTTTGTGCAAAAACTATCGATGTCGTACTTTTTGCACAGGTAATTCTTTACCACGGCACCGTATTAAGGGTGTAAGGGGCATCGTAACGAATACTGAAATAGTGTATTCAGACCATCATTCTGAGTCGAAAATCATTACAATTTTCAATCAGCTGTCAAAGGTTAAGATCATGCCCCATAGGTATCGCACAAAAGTAATAACTATATTTGTATTCCATGCAAACAGTCTACGCATACTAACACAAAATGGCGGCCAGGGAAAAAGACTCGCGCGCTTTGGCTGTTAGATTAATTACATTGTAGTTTTTAATCGTACGCGTTATTTATAGAATAAGTTTGTGTAAAATGTTCTGTATACTCATTGTGACATCATTTTTAAACCAAAATGAAAATAAAGAATTGATGAATTTTCCGGCAGAAAATTCCAATGATTTTCGTTACGACGTCCCTTACACCTTGTATATATGTAGTATACCACGAATTTATAGAAAATCGGTGATACCTAAGCAAGCAACCAATTCTTTCGTAGCTATTTATAGAGTGAGTAAAGTTAACGGAGCCCAAAAACCACACACCTTTTTGTGGGAACAGCAAGTCAATTATGACTTTTCAAGTGTACATTAGTGACGGTAGCCACTTACGAACAAATGACCCGTCTGCTTGTTTGCCTACTATACCATAAACAAGTAATCATAATAAAAAAACAAAAACCCGACTGCAGAAAAACAATTTAAAAGATAACATAATACTGCTGCATCCGCAGAAACCCTCAAACGGAGTAAATACCAAAATTTAGTAGGTAATTACATTTTTGAACCGCTTGTGGTCGAGAAGCTAGGGTCATGGGGTCCGAGTGCTCGTGCTATGTATAAACAACTAGCTATAACCCGGCAATCTCGTGCGCGACCGTCCCGCGGGGTGACAGACAGTGGCGGGGGCGAGGTAGCGCGTCATTCTAGCACACGGCTACACACGAAGAGAGGTGTTTCCCTTCCCCGCTACACCACCCGCTACCCGCTGACATCTTTAGTACCTCGTCCCCGCCACCGTCTGTCACCCCGCAGGATGGTCGCGCACGACGTTGATGGACTATAAGCAACTGATCGACACTTCATGTGATTAGAATACCGACCTTTTTCTATCACAGAGAATTAGCATTGACATGCAACGTGACATGCGGAGGAATTTTTGATGCTTGTATGTAAATATTTTAATTGTATTATAATATATATTTTTATATTTAAAAGTCTTACACTAAAAAGACCGAAACAGCAAGAAGTCCGACACAAACATGGCCTATTTTTACGTTATCAAAACTTATTAAACCAATTTTTTATTCCTTATTATTAAATTTAAATATTAAACTTATATTTATATTTGTAATCCCGTTTTAATTTTCTATATTTTGATACCCTACTCGATAGGTTTGGTTATTATTATTTTTAACTGATTACTACTTGGCGCCAAAAGTCCGCCATATTGTTTTTTTTTCTTTTACATAGCCCGACGATATAACAATACTTTAACTATCGAAATCCATCCAGTCATTTTAAACATACAAGGTAATATTTTTTACAAACAAACACAAGATACGCGCGAAAAACGTAACCCTACCTTGGCAGTCGCGTAAAACGATTCTGGACACCAATTTTTATTTCAGATCTTTAATTTTTAGTATTTTGATTAAATAATTTGACGGTACTCACTTTTAGATATACAATCTACACACAATATCTCTATAGAAACCAGTTCTGTTATAAAGTATACTGATGTTAACGATCTGATGATCTAAAAGAGGGGCTGTGAGTTTCCTTGTCAGAAATCGGAAACCAGCTATTACATGATTTGATGAAGACAGATGCAGATTTAATTGCCATACAGTGTTATTAGTTATACAAGATTTGCCTGGGGCTCCGCCCGCGTAAATGTCGGTCTTTCCTCATGAGTCAAAGTATCTCCATACCAAATTTCATCTAAATATGTTCAGCAGTTATTAATTCCCCATACAAGTCCCTTTTCACCCTCTTAAAGGATGATTTCTTTGATAAAAATTACCCTATGTCCTTTCCCGGGAGTCGGATTATCTCTATATCAAATGTCATCTAAGTTGGTTCAGCGGTAATAGACAGACAGACTTTCGCAAAATATTAGTATGAATTATAATAATTCTTAGTCTATGCAATCCATTGTTGTGGTAACATAATTATGTACACTTTACTTAAAAATCAGACTATTTGTCGTGTTACGTGTTATTTATTTTAAAGTTTAAATAATTTGACTTTGATTTGATATTTGCTTTCAAATTTCATACTTCAAAGACAATTCCCACATTAGGAATATATCCTGTGTCGCGGGGGACTTCACCAACATCCATCAAATAGGCACAAAGAACACCCAGAACACATAGCGCAGTTAAAAGCGGCGAGGTTACCGCTTAAACCATGCAGTCCTTTAGGTTTTAACATTTTATTGTAGGCTTCCAACAAGGTGGTCCGATGACCTGGTAGAGATTGCGGGAAGCCGCTGTGTGGAAGTCACAGGACCGTTTATTGTGGCGAGCCTTGGGATGTCCAGTAGGGAAAGTCTTTCGGCTGAAATGATGTAGGTGACATTACAACAGAAACTAACAAGCGTGTGGGTCTAGTAGTCGGTGACTGCTAAGCTGCTAAATCTTGGGTTCGTTTCTCAGTCAGGACAAATATTTGTGTGATGAGCACAATCAACTGTTATATGTGTGAGTGTAGTGACGGATTAAGAATACGGAATGTCACCACCCCTATTCATACCGTGGGTGTCGTAAAAGCCGACTAAAGGAACAAACTGCACAGGACAACAGCTGCAAAAAGAAAGAAAACTTGACACAAACCCTTTTTTTTTTTAACGTGTGGAAATCCCCTCGGACCGTCACCCCTCCGGGGTTTGCGGCGGGGTGGTGTGTCGGACTCGGACCGACTAAAACCACACGGTGTGCCACTCTGCGCCTGTAACAGGAGGGATCCGGGAACAGCTGTTGTTAAGACATCCGGACCCCTCCTAGCGCCAGCCCGCTCCTGGTGCGGGCTCCGTCTCAATGTTGTTCCTCTCTTTAGGCGACGTCCGGCACACGCGGACGCCGCCCCCTCGCGGCTGGCCAAACTAATGCGGGTGGAGGGGAAACCCACCCCGTCCACCCGCGGCCACACTCAGGGCGGCATGAGGCTGTGATAGGCGGGCCTCCGCCGCCCGGTTCGCCGGCGGCGGATCGGGTCCGAGTGGAGGTCGTCCTCCCGGGCCCTCTCCGCCGCCTCCTTCCGCGAGATTACTACCTCGCAGAAGGTTGCGACCGCGGTAAAACAAGCGCGAGCGTACTACGGCCGGTAGCGAGAGATCCACTCCGATGACTGCAGTGAGGGCCCGGCGCTGCGCCGCCCATGCGGGGCAGACCGCCAGCGTGTGCTGGGCCGAGTCCTCACTGCAGTCGCAGTGGTGGCAGGCGGGACTCAGTTCCCTCCTAGCGACCGAGTGCAGGTACTTTCCGAAGCAACCGTGCCCGGAAAGCACCTGCGTCAGCCGGAAGGAAAGGGTCCCGTGTTGACGCCCTGCCCACTCGGCGATGACCGGCTGGAGAGCCTCCACGGCGGCGAAACCAGCGCGTGGAGTCTCCAGCCGGAACGACCAACGAGCCATCGTGGCTCGGCGAGCGGCTTCGCGCCACTCGCGCACATCCTCGGGCGGAGGGCGAAATCCGCTCTCCGCCCGGGAGTCAGCCACTCGGCGATAAACTTCGGCGAGCACTTCCGCCTCCAAATCCCACGGGGGAGTTCCGGCCAACGCGCATGCCACCTCCGTCGAAACGGTGCGGTAACCGCGTATGGCTCTGACCGCCATTACCCATTTTTTTTTTTTTAACGTGTGGAAATCCCCTCAGACCGTCACCCCTCCGGGGTTTGCGGCGGGGTGGTGTGTCGGACTCGGACCGACTAAAACCACACGGTGTGCCACTCTGCGCCTGTAACAGGAGGGATCCGGGAACAGCTGTTGTTAAGACATCCGGACCCCTCCTAGCGCCAGCCCGCTCCTGGTGCGGGCTCCGTCTCAATGTTGTTCCTCTCTTTAGGCGACGTCCGGCACACGCGGACGGAGGGCGCCAGAGGCGTACCCTATTCTGGGCGGTCAGAGCCGCCGCCCACACCGGTGCACCGTACAGTGCCATTGACCGGACAACCCCCGTGTACAGCCGTCTTGTCGCGACGCTGGGTCCACCCATATTGGGCAAAAGTCGCCCTAGGGCAGACGCAGCGCCGACCAGCTTTGGAGCAAGCTGTCGGAAGTGCTCGTCGAAGAGCCACCTCCCGTCGAGGATCAGGCCCAGATATTTCATCTGGGCCCGAACCGGTACGAGGACCGAGTTGACCACGATTGAGGCGCCAGGGGGTGGACCACGACGGGGCCCATGAAATCTCAGGGCCTCCGTCTTATCTAGGGCCACCCGTAAGCTCAGCGCCTCAATGCGCCCGACCACCAGGGAGACTCCCCCTGTGGCCAGGCGCGCCGCCTTTTGGAAGTTTGCCCCCCGGGCTGTCACCAGGGTATCGTCTGCGTAACAGATTACACCCAGCCCGGGGGGGAAATCGGCGCGAAGGGCCCAGTCGTACCCTATGTTCCACAAGAGGGGTCCAAGAACAGACCCCTGTGGAACACCGCACGACATGGGCCGACACCTCAGATTACCTTCTCGGTCCTCGTACACGACGGTACGCTCCTCTAAATAGTCTGCCACTAGCCGCCTCAGG